CGCTCGTGGCCGGTTCGCGGCGGATGCGCATGGGCCCCGGCCGGGGGCGGGGCCGTCTTAGTGTTTTCCTGGGTGGTGCGGTCGCGGTGGGTGTTGCGGCCGGTCGCCGGGGCTTGGTGCGGGGGGGGCGGGGCGTGTTTCGGTGCTCTGTGGGGCTGGGGCGTTTCGGTCGGCGCCGTGGGGGGGCTGGTGTTCGGCGCCCGGCCCTACTTCGGGGTGGCCGGCTGCCGGCGGGGCCCGCGGACTCGTCCCCGCGGCTCCCCGGGGCGCCGGCATGGCGGTGGCTGGGGGGCTTCCTCGTGGCTGTCTCTCCTCCTGCCTTGGTGGGGTCTGATTTCCGGGGCTGGCCCCGCCTTGGTGCCTTCGCTTCTGGGGTCCCCTTGGGCGCCTGGGGCTTTGGGTCTCCCGGCGCTGGACTCAGTGCTCTGGGGGGTGTGCCTCTCCGGCTCTCCACAACCACTATTGAGCATTTTTTTCTATGGTTAAAACTTTACATGCACAAGTTCACCCTCACAAACAACTACAGGTGCTAGGCTTCAGGTACTTAGAGATTCACTTCCAAACAGAAACCCCACATTCATGTCTTCAGGTAACACAGAGTACATGTCAGACTTAATAATATTACTTTAGTGATAGTTTCAAGGTGTTTGCTTTATTGTATATCTCGTACCATGTTTTTTGGTTGTGCTGTTCTTTTTTCTTTTTTTTTCTCCATCTCATTACAGGTGTTGAAGCAGACTGAAAATGTTTTGTCATTGTCTCCTTCCTATCTCCTCTTTCTTTCATCTTCTGTCCTGTTTTTTTCTTTTTCTTTTTCCTTCTTCTTCTTCTGTTTTTCTGCTCTACTTACATTGCAGTGTCCATATGAACTGTAAAACTCCCTGCATAATTATAATAAAGCAATTTATATACATGAAACAAGTGGAGCGGTATGGCAATTGCGATACCGCTACACTTGTGAAAGTAAAATCTGTTGGGCTCCTTTTGGCATCAAGACAATTATTCTTATTGCCACCTTGCCAGACAGGACACTGTAAAAAAAAAAAAAAAATAAAAAAAAAATAAAAAAAATAAAACATGCCCGACTCCACATGGGCTCAATGTTTAATCTCCCTATTCTCAGCAACAAGCAGGGGGCATTTATAGTCATCAACTGTCCATTCGCTGCACAAGAATAAAAGCAAAAGCTCAAGACTAGGAAGCTTTAATGGCCACTTGAAAATGTAAACATGGTTCATGAGCAAAAAAAAATTATTGGTGCAGTGCTAAAAGGCCAGTTAATGCAAATAAAATACTATTCAACCAAATAGAATTAACCTTTTCATAACACAAGGACCCAAATTTGGGTCCTCAGCACTCGCCCCAAGATGGTTTTTAGACCTGTAACATATTCTCTGGGGTCTTGCCTTTATTTTGATACCAAAACAATTAAAATAAACTCTGTAGTTCTTGAGATATATTCAATTCATTTTGGGCATGTTATTTTCAAGCATATTTCTCGAAAACAGGCCTAGTGTCCAAGAGGTTAAAAAGATAAAAACCTGTTGAGGGTTTGTCTCCATCCCATGACCTCTGAGGTAAAAAGACAGTTAAAAAAAAAAAACACTAGACTGCAGTTATAAGCATGGAAGGAGCAATATGGGGGACCAGGGGTGGCCAGTGATGGCCACCCTTATTGGGTGATTTTGTCTGAACATAATTCCCAAGCAGTTCCTCTCTAAAACAGAAGGTGGCAGCAGCAATACTCTTATGTTCAATGTTCTAACAAATTTACAATTTTAATTGTTCGTATATTATAAATGAACTAACAACAAAAAATACAGTAGTTAATTACTCATCATCAATAAACTAACATTAAATATGATACACACAGGGGTAATGGTCTTTTCAGAACCAATTTTTGAGTTTTTTGGCAAAAAAATTGTGTCTCTGCAAGTCATCTAGGAGTCTTCTATGAAATTAGAAGCTAATAACAAATAAATCCAATTAATGTAGGTATTAGTATATGTAAATATTAATATTAATGCAAATGGTTATTGATAAACAAACAGTGGACCTTTTTTCTGGTAATACATAGAAACAACAAGAGAAAAGCTGTGCCACTGATCATAAGTGAAGTTATGTGAAGTTAAAAATTATGAAGTTATGTTTTTGTCAACTTTAAAATGAAAAGAAAGACCTGGAAAGGTTAAAAAGGAGTTATAGTATAAGGTAATGAAAGCATGGATCAGTGTCTTCAAGTGTTTTTTTTTTTTTAGGTTGGGCTTAATTTCTTACTGCCTCCTTAAATGAACAAAAAAGTGCTTCAGTCTACGTATTTTTCATAATTTGGAAATCTCTGCCTAAAAAGGATCCCACTGTATTTTTATTTTTTTCCCATCTTATCTAAATTCAGTCTCAGAGGACTTTGAGTCAGTGTTTGGACCCAACACAGAAGTCAAAGAAATCTACATTGAATCACCACAGGAAGGTAATTAAATACATGTTTTAAATGTCATTAAAATGTCTTTGTAGGTGGCTAATACTCAAAGTGTAAAACTGTTTTCTTTTTTCCCCAACCAGAATATTTCTTGGACTGCAACTTCGACCAAGGAGCATGTGAATGGGTCCAAGACATAACTGATGACATGGACTGGACTGTGGCCTACCATGATAATGGTAACAAAATTATGCTTCAAAATCTTTTTTCTTTTTTTTGTCATTTTAGATACAGCTACTAATATACTATTCAATCCTCCCAGATGGCAACTACTACATGGCTTTGAGTGGGCTGATAGGTGGCAGAGAAGATGTAGCTAAGCTGAAATTGCTGCTCAGTGACCGAGCCCAGTATGGCAGCTTCTGCCTCACCTTTGACTATCGGGTGGTGGGTCATGATGTGGGCTCGCTCAGGGTGCTGCTGGACAACAATGCTTACCCTGTGTGGGAACAGAGCCAAAGCAAAAACCAGGGCTGGCAGACTGAACTCCTTACTGTGGCCTGGAGAGAGGAGGCCCCGCAGTCTGTGAGTTATTTTTCTTAATGGGATGAATTTTTCCTTTAGGGGTTGTCTAATAACAGATTTGTTTTGAAAATATTTATTTTACTGCAATTGGTATAGTTTTCAAAATAGGTTTAATTGACTGTTATTTTAAGACATACATTCCACATGGGACTGTATAATACAATGGTTCCATCTGAATGTCTTTCAGATCATCTTTGAAGCTCAGCGTGGGAAAGGCATTGGAGGTGAAATAGGGTTGGATAATGTTGTGCTGACATCAGGACACTGTCAAGAAGATATAAATCCAATCTTTTAGGAATCAAACATCACTAATTTCTTTTTCTTTAATAATCTGCTCAGTCAACTTAATTATGGGTGCATGCAAGTTTGCTTTCACACCACCTGTTACGTTTTTCTGATTCAGCTAAATTCTTTATTCTCAGTTAATAATTACTCTAAATAAAACCCAGATGACTCATATCTCAGGAAAAGATGGAAGAGCTAAGTTCTTAAGTTCTGTTTATGGCTTCACATTTATTTCAAAACGCTTGTGGCAAAATAAACATACTTGCATGTTTGTTAAAGTACTTCTGCACATGGTTTATCTACCACCACACAACAAAATCACATATGCGTGAGAAACTGCCACTCAGAGAGGAGAGAATTGTTCCCTGCGCGTACCAGCTTCTTCCCGCCCCTTCCGCAGACAATCTGCTGCACCTCTCCAAAATTGTAGGTGACCGCAGACAGTGCCGCAGATAGGAGCCTCTGATGGGTCAAATCTACATCCGATCTACTCATGCATATTTCCCGTTTGGTACCTTACCGGCTTGTTTTGTTTGTATGATGGCCATTGCGGAAAACAACTTGTGAAGATGGACCAGCGAGAAGAGCAAGGTGCACGAGAATGCTGGGACCCTTTTTCCACCTGGATACCAGCATTTTTTCGCCCTCATTGTCCCTCCGTTGTCAGAAAAACTTGCCCCAACTTCCTCACCTCCTCGGCCGTATCTAGACCTACAGCTAGTTCATGATTGTCCCTCTTGCATTGTGGCGTGGAATTACATAACACAGACCACGCTTCAAAATTGAGCATAAATCAAAAATGTCTGCATCATACCTGCAACAAGCTCACTGCGACACACTGCTGTGGGAGTATAACCAGCCCTTAAGCCTCCTCCTGATTGGGCCTTGCAGACACGATCACACTGGAAGCAGTTTCAGGAAGACAACGGCTGGAGATGGTACAGTGACGGAGGCTTCTTCAACGTTTGTGTTAGGTGGGGTAAGTGTCAGTTAAAGGCTTCCTGACACTACTTCCCTTATGATTGTTTCTGCAAAGCCCAATCAGGAGGAGGCTATCCTTGAGCGTGGCCACTGGATAGAAAATCGTGCGCTCCGTGAGATCCCAAGCATGACCCTGAGAAGGCGTGGGAGGAGCGGGCGTGTGCAGAGAGTGATTTTCTCCTCTCGAAGCGACAGTGTCTCTCGCATGTGTGATTTTGTTGTGCTGTGGTAGATAAGAAATAGTTTAAGATACATGTGAGTATGTTATTTTTATTCACGGGCGTTTTGAAATAAATTGTGACGCAATTCCTCTTAAGCAGTATTGTACTGGCGTTATGTTTGTGACATTAGATTGCTGAAGCAAACTACATAAAATACAAAATGTAATGTGAATCAAAGGTTAGATAAGTTACATTTTTGAAGGCTGTTTTGTTGAAAATAGGTATATATTGCCAAAACTGTATTAAATTTGCGGTGAATGCTTATATTAAACATGTTTTTTCTAATGCCGGGAAATATTATTCCTTTTAATTAATATTGACCAATATGGATGCTATTATTAGAAACCTTATAGAAATATATTCATGCCTTTTAATGTCAGCATTTCTGTTTAATATTTTGTATTGGTTATCGAAATCATTTTATATGAGTACAAAACAAAATGTAAAGGCTTCCAACTACCTCGAGAAAGTCAGTTTTAAAGCGAAACACAGCAAGACTTGTACTTTGTTATTTTGCTGGATTTTGTGATTTAAACAAAGAAAGAAATCTGAACCAATGGCTCTGCAGTTTTTTAATCTATAATTATAAATTGAAAATGATAAGTTTGAAGATAGAAAAATGCAGCACAAAGGGTCCCATGAAGTTGGTATTGCAGATAGGGAAGTCAGGGGATGCCACTTTAAAGGAACAGTCCGGTCAGTAAGGAATATCAATGGATCATTTTTTATACCTCCACCTAATATGTTCTGGGTAATTTAATGAATATAGCTTTAATCAGTAAAAAAAGAAAAATAACAACTTTTGTTGCAATCACTGAGACTGGGACTGGCCATTTTTGCCCAAATATAGTAACACCTCACTCCTGACATCTTCCAGCAGTGACGTCACGGTGCGGTAAGCCAAAGTCCATTCTCCTTGCTTTACAAGCAAAATCAATAAGAACTACTAGACAAATCTGCAATCAACAACAATTATTTAAGATTTTTGAGAGGACTTCACCATAGAAATTGTCAAGAGCTATTGTTTAAGTGACAATGCCCACGCCCATGGCAGTTGGATGTTGTAATACATTGGATAAAAGTGAACAAAAAAATATTTATTTCACCTTTCTAATTCATGATCCTACACAGATGGGTTTATCATTGAATTGCCAACCTGAAGAGGGAGAATTTGCCATCAAACTTTGTGGCCAGAGAAAAAACACGTAATATTTAGCCAACATTTTGAAGAAGGATGTTTTCAAGATGACTTGGATAAAAGTGTGTTGTTACAAACACCAGATACGGCATTGGGACTTGCTCAACAGCCGATACCGCGCCTTGACGTCACAAACCAGTAGGTGGCAGTAGTGCTCTTTGACAAACATGGATGTCTGCGGTAAAGCACATTCAAATGAAACTACTCTTAATTAAAAACACTTATCAATTATTGAACATTATGTAATAATTTCACATTTAAAGTATATCTGAATATGACCAGACTTCTCCTTTAAATATACCTGCATGACGATTCTATATACCTACATAAATGTACATACTATCCACAGTCAAGGTGCTCTTGTTATGTTTTATCTATCAGCCACAGTATTGTAACTTGTTATTATAAACTTGTATTTCTGATGTAATTAACCTGATGTGAAATTATATTATTTATCAAATCCCCGATTGGTTTACAGGAACAGTGTTTTGTAAAGGACTCTTACCCATGAGTCTGTTCTACATTTTATATAGTTTCTACCAAACCTTTCAGCATTTTTCACTAGAATTGGATGCACTACAGCAACACTAAGTAGTAAATAGTCTTAAACTGAAAGAAAAGTGATACATAGTTTTAAATATGCTTATCTTAAAAAGCTTAAGGTTTATTAGATTGGTTGCAGTGTTTATGAAACATCTTATGGTAGATTTACAAACGGCTTTATATCTAAAGTTTGATCAGTCATTGAAATGGATGTTACGTGTTTTGCTTTAAACAACTCCAATGTGGCCATGTAGTTAGGGTTGTGGTCCCATTGGAAGTGTAAATTTTCAATTTCAAGTCTTTGCAGCTTCTAACAGGCTGTCTTCCAGGATCCATCCTTATTTAGCTCCATTTATCTTTCTATCAAATAATCAGTGGCAAAAAGCAACATTTATAGCATAATCCTTTTTCCAACTTTTTGAACGATGGGGATGTTTTGTTCATGGTTTTAGTTTTCTGACACACAATGCTTTCTATGTAGGCCAAAAAATGTATTCTTCTTCTCATCTAACCAGCATGTCTTCCACAAATGTACTCTACACCACTTTCAGCTAACATTACACCAGACTTTATATGGTTTTCTAAAGGAAGAAATCTATGGGAGAATTATCCTGCCATAATGCAAGAGCACATAATTTCAATTTGAGAAAAGAATTTCATCTTCTTGCACTCAAAACTTATAATGCTCACACTCAAAACATGCACTCTCTCTCAAATATTTTCTCTTCTCTCTCAAATCTTTGTTTCTTCTCTCAGATTTAATGCTTTTTGCACAGATATTTTCTGCTCTCGCTTGCCTCCTTCTCTTCGCGCACAAACCGCGAGTCTCAAATACGCTCGCAAACCCGTAGGCTCTGCTTGCGGATTTTTTTTGCTCTCTCTCGGATTGCAGTTGGATCGTCGCCTAGCAACCTTCCCAGCCAATAGAACGACAGCCTCGGAAAGGGTGCGCTTGTTTAACCCTACTGAGTGTGCCTGTGCTACTACGCGACTTATAAGAGCGTCAGCTGAAACTGCTATTTACAGTAGTTTTGTGGCTTGATTCAGCTAAGTTCAGTAGCTACTTATGGATAACCCAAAAAATTCTGAATTAAGTAATTTTAAACAATTAGTGGTGTGTTATGTACAAAAGCAAAGAACCGACATATTAAATTATTATCTTGAAATACTTTGTTAGTATAATGGCAAATCTTTACGTTTTAACGTAACCAGTCAGTGAGTTATGGATGTTTTAAAATGTTGGATAAGTGGACAATTGGTCCGAAAGAGGAGTCCAATCACAGCTCAAGTAGGACATTACAAGGAAAGGAGACTTACTGTATGTCTTCTGAAAGCCACCGCTGTTTTCACCTCAAAGGAGCTTTTCATTGGACTAACTATGCGGTTTGTTGGCTATATCAGCAGGTTAAAAAATAATAAGTACTGTATTATGATATTAAAATTGGTATTTATTTATTTATTTAAATTTTATTATCATGTTTAATCAGACCTCAAATTTTATATTTAGTTAAGAGTGAGATCGTTAATTTTCGGAGGCGTGGATGACTTGACCCTGGAAGAGAAATCTTTTTCTCCTGACTTCTATAAGAAAATCAAAGTCAGGATTTTCTCTGACTGACAGCCCTGGCTGCAAGGCTATCAGTCAAAGGTGCCAGTCTGCAGCACTGGGGCCTCCAGGCCACCGTCCTGTCTACATTTCTCTTCACCCTCTACACCTTCACCTTGTGGGCTGTGTGTCTGAGGGGAATGAGCTGGAGTACCGGTCAGTCATTATGGACTTTGTGGACTGTTGTGAGAAAAAACACCTGAGTTTAAACACCAGTTAGACCAAGGCATTGGTGATCGACTTCAGGAGACGACCCCCGTGTGAACATTCAGGGGCAGGACATAGAAACTGTGGAGAGTTTCAAATACCTGGGTGTTTACGTCAATAAGAAAGCCGAGTGGACACATAACACCATAATAATAATTGGAAATAACTATCCAACATTTTAACTTTTTGTAAAAAATTTATTTTTCCCCCTACATTTTGAAATCAATACTAACAAAGTATTTCAAGGTAATAATTTGATATGTCGGTTCTTTGCTTTTGTACATAACAAACCACTAGCTGTTAAAAATTACTTAATTCAGAATTGTTTGGGTTATCCATAAGTACTGAACTTTGCTGAATCGAGCCACAAAACTACTGTAAATAGCAGTTTCAGCTGACGCTCTTATAAGTGGCGTAGTAGCACAGGCACACTCAGTAGGGTTAAACAAGCGCACCCTTTCCCGAGGCTGTCGTTCTATTGGCTGGAAAGGTTGCTACGCGACGATCGAACTGCAATCCGAGAGAGAGCAAAAAAAAAATCCACAAGCAGAGCCTACGGGTTTGCGAGCATATCTGAGACTCGTGCAGAGCGTGGTTTGTGCGCGAAGAGAAGGAGGCAAGGGAGAGCAGAAAATATCTGTGCAAGAAGCATTAAATCTGAGAGAAGAAACAAAGATTTGAGAGAGAAGAGAAAATATTTGAGAGAGAGTGCATGTTTTGAGTGTTAGCATTATAAGTTTTGAGTGCAAGAAGATGAAATTCTTTTCTCAAATTGAAATTATGTGCTCTTGCATTATAGCAGGATAATTCTCCCATAGTTGATGCCATTACAAAAATGGACAGTGCAGAAATGTTACAGCAATGACTCAAATAATCACCTACAAAGTTAAAAAGAAAAAGGGCACTATGACCATAAAAAGCTAAAATGTATAAATAAATAAAAAAATCAGTGTTTCTATCAAAGAAATCCTAATCTCATATAATATTTGGGGTGTGGAGCTTGAAGTGTGTGTGTATACTTGTTTTACGGTGTGGACACTTTAATCTGTTTATACAGTCACCTCATGGGGACCTATGTCCTTATGGGGATCAAAATCCTGGTCCCAATATGGTAAAGTTCTGTTCTTTGAGTTGGGGTTGGGGTTAGGTGTATGTTGGTAATAGTTAGGGTTAGGCTAGGGATCTGGTTTAAATGAATGTAAGTAAATGAAATGTCCCCATAAGTCATGTGTGTGGGGGTGTGTTGGGGAGTGTGTATCTGTCTAGCCCTCAGAGTGAGGACCGCAATTCCATTTTCCCCATCAAATTTTGCAAGTCCTCACATGCTTTTTTGCTAATGGTTAGGTTTAGAGCTAACATGTTAATTAGTTAGGGTTAGGGTGAGGTATGCATTGGTAATGTTAGGTTTAGGGTTATTTTTAGGATTAGGGCATAAAAAGGGTTTAAAATGAATAAAAATCAGTGGAAGTCAATAGGAGTCAACACATGGTCCTCACTACGATGGCAGAACTAGTATGTGTGTGTAATGTGTGTGTGTGTGTGTGGGGGGGGGGGGGGGGGTTGTGGGCATGTCCTATGTCAGCATTCTAAGGGACATCCCATAATTCTGTGATGTCATTGCTTTAGAACCCTGATGTCATCAGATCAGAATTCATTATTGCATTATTGCTTGCTGCACCACTGACTAGATCAGACGTACGCATAGCGCCCTTCTAGTCGAGATTTCAAACCTTTTACAGATTAACGCAAACTTTAACAACCGTTTATTTGTGTTAAAATGCCACATCAAAGGCAACATTACCACAACGGTGGGAGCAGATATCAGCCGTATAGTTTGGAAGCTCGACAAAATCAGAAAAGCTGCATTAACAACAGACAGCCTAATAATCCTGTCCAGGATGAAATCAAAAGGCTCAACTCTCTTTTGGAAATTGAGAAATATAAATGGTTGGAGGAAAACCAAAAGGTATTCACCCTTGAGGAAGAGCTTGAAAAAGCAAAAAGTGAGTTAAAACGGCAGAAAAATCTCAAAGAGATGTTCATTAATAAGGGCAAAGAAACCAAGCGAGAA